ATTAATTAACCTTTCAGACCTTCAGCCTGTCACCTACAGTGAACCAGCTTTCTGGTGCTCTATAGCCTACTATGAACTCAACCAGCGGGTCGGAGAGACGTTCCATGCTTCCCAGCCATCCCTGACTGTCGACGGCTTCACCGACCCTTCCAACTCTGAACGCTTCTGTTTAGGGCTTCTCAGCAACGTTAACAGAAATGCAACAGTTGAAATGACAAGGCGACATATAGGTATATATTTGAATTACAGCTTAATGATCAGTCCTTGTTTTTCTCAGAAGTGTTTTTGTCACCAGGTTTAAGCAATAGCATCTTAATTTATGCTAAACTTAAGGGGCATCAAAGGTGTTAAGCTTAAGAACAATACAGCAACTTTTTTAAATAGTACTTTATTTTTTATTTTTTTTTATCTTCCTGTTTTTGCTTAAACCCTGTAGGTCGTGGCGTTAGGTTGTATTACATCGGTGGGGAGGTTTTTGCCGAGTGCCTCAGCGACAGTGCCATTTTTGTCCAGAGTCCCAACTGCAACCAACGATATGGCTGGCACCCAGCCACTGTCTGCAAGATTCCACCAGGTTTGTATGCATAAATAATATATTTTTTAAAATAATCATGTGTTTATTGTTTAAAATGAAATTTCAGTCTGTCCTCAAACACTGTGCAGTGGCTTGGCTATCAGTATGAGAATCAAAAGTTATCACCAATGTGTAAAACTTGATGACTTTAGTTACACTAGCTGCATTTCCATTGACCATGAAAATGTGCAAATTAAAATTTCGAAAATAAATTTGCTCAATGAAAACTCTTCAGTTTCGAAAAAAATTATGCTTTTCGACTAAATGGTTTTGCGCTAGGAAGAGGTGTTTTTTCGGCCGTATCGAAATTGGTGTATTTCGCAAAGCTACAATGGAAACACTTTTTTCGCATCACGGGAGTCAGGTGATCAAGAACCGGCTGTTTCTACCGGCGAAAAAGACGAAGAAGATAACAGAAAGTAAAAGTAGTAGTGAAATCACCAAAGTAGTAAACTCACCGAATACATTTTCCCAAAAACGCAGCATACGTAGCCACTCCCAAGTATAAGGGGCTTGATTTGATTTGATTTGATTTGATTTGATTTATTGATTTAACAGGAAAAGATTACTAAAAATCAAGCCTGACTCAGCATAATTGCTGTTTTACAGCAGGTTCCTGTTCTGCAGCACATAAAACACTCAGAAATACAGCATCACAATCACATCATTAAACACCATAGACACAAAGACAAACAAGCATACCAAATTTCAGGAAGGCAGCATTTGCAAAATAGGAYGTCTAAATATGAGCACAACAATAAGTGTCCAGCAGATGGCAGACAAGATTCTTCTTAAAGGGCTGTAGTTTTGAAACGGACTTTATGTTTTGAGGAATGTCATTCCATGCTTTAGTATGAACATAGAAGAAAGACCTCTGGCCGTAACTGTTTTTAAAAGTTGATAATGTCAGTTGTCCTTTTGTAACAGATCTAGTTGAATGACCACTTCCAGAATTTGATTTGGGCAACAATGCACAGAGAGTTCCATTATTGATGGAATAAAATATTCATTAAATAAGTTAGCAATTTTTTCATGATCAGAAACAAGAAGTCCATTTACTGAGATTTGTGAATTGTTATTAAATGTTTTATTGTTACTTTCACCTGTCACTGACTTAATCGTTTCCCATAATATTTTTGGATTCTTACTGGCTGAARTAATTTGGTTTTTAAAATGTTGTTTGGCTTTGCGTAATTCAGCAACACATTTATTTCGGTAACTGTTTAAACGAGACCGATTTTCAGAAGTTTTTGATATTCTATAAGTTTTCATTGAAGAAGCTTTCAACTTTAGGAGATGTATTATAGAGGCATTCAACCGTGGAATTTTATTTTTCCGGACTGGAACTTTACAAGTTGAAATATATATTTTCCTGTATTGTCTCCAACTTATAAAAATTTGACAAAATGCGATTTGGATTTGACAGAGAAATACCCTCATTCCAGTTTGTATTCTCAGTCTCTGCATGAAACATGGGTAACTTTGATTTTGGAATCCTTTTAATGAAATTATGCACATGACCCTTAGGTTTCTTAAGGTTTTTTCTAATGACATAAATAAGTGAATGATCCGAGATTGAAGTATTTATAACTCCAGATATGCCAGATATGGAGGATTGATTTGTGAAAATAAGATCCAAAATGGAATTGCATGTCTTGCCAAATCTTGTTGGTACTTTAATTAACTGTTGAAGCCCTAAATTTATAGACATTGCTTTAAAGCCTTTGGAAGTTTTATCAGCCCAATTCATATTGATATCACCAAGAATCACAAACTCTTTTGATTTTATGCCTTTTATAATGTCAGTGAGCTGCGCTAAATATTTAGTTGAATTAACACTTGGAGGTTTATATGTAACAACAACCGTTACTGAAAGGTGATTTGTAAGCTTGATTTCTAATTGCAGAGAYTCAGACTCAGTTGACAATTCTATTATAGAATGTGAGTATTTCTTGTGAACATAAACTGCAACACCACCTCCAAGCCTATCAGTATGGTCTCTACGATACAATGAATAATTTTCAACTGAAAGAAACAAATTTGGTATAGCAGGAGTCAGCCATGATTCTGATATAGCCATAACATGTGCTTGTGTCTGAGCAAGTATTAATTTGAATTCATCCAGTTTAGGTACAAGACTTCTCATATTTAAATGACAGATTTAAATTTGAGAAGTCACTCGAAAGCCTGGAAAAGACGCCGATGTCTCCTTTGATGGCTGATGATGAGCGCTAGTGTCGCGGTAGCAATATGCTATGTGTATCCATCCATTGCCGCCATGTTTGTAATGACTTATTGCGAGAACAAACGTATTCACGTGTGACTTTTAATAGCATTTCTTACTTAATGGAAACACTGCAATTGCGAAACTGTTTTTTTGACATTAACAGAATATCGACAAAGTTTTGCGCACATTTGCAATGGAAACGCAGCTACAATTACTCACCTGTACAATGAAAACAAGTCTGATTTGAAATGCAAAACGTGCCTTTTTTTCATCAATATCTATCTTTACATCTGTCACAGGGCCACATAAGAGACAAACAAGACAATCATTCACACTCTCACTCACATTTGGGGACAATTTCCAATTAACTAAACATGCACGTTTTTGGTCTGTGGGAGAAAATGTCAAGAGGTGATCCAATAACCTTCTCGCTAAAGGCCCTGTCACACTATAACGTTTCAGACAACTTATGCCAACTTATGAAAATGTACAAACATCTACATTGAAAATGGAAATTAACAAATCAATTGGAAGCCTCTTTTAGGCATGTACATACTGTAATGCTAAAAAATTGATCAAATGACTTTTATTAGCGATTTAGACATATACAAATGTTAAGTTGGCATAAGTTGTCTAAAACGTTATAGTGTTGACAGGGTCCTAAGAGGCGATGGCTCTAAACACTGCACCGCCCCCTTTTCCCCCCAGCTGATACAAATAAAGCAAAGCTTGAAAAAAAGCCACATAGAGCCTCCACAATGTGACAGTATTTATCACACGCTCGCCCACTCGCTGACTCATCTGTACCCATGTGAATTTGAACATTGAATTCTTGGCCAAACGGGCTGTGTGAACAGTATCATTACGGAGGTACAGAATAGCACAGAAACTAAACACAAGGATCTTACTGACGTAAATGGTTAGGGCTTGTAAGCCTTCTGGAGAATGACTGCTGACAGTACACCCACTGTTCACAATGCTTCTGCTTTTTTTAAATTGTCTGTTTAAAGTAAATTCAACAATTCCGAAGTTCCATGTTGTGTATAGAAAAACGATCGTAACATAATTTATTGCTTTATTTTCACTCACAAACTGGTAGAAGATGCTGTATATTATCTATGCTTTACAGCTTTCTTTTTCTTTTTCTAGGCTGTAATTTGAAGATTTTTAACAACCAGGAGTTTGCAGCACTGCTGGCCCAGTCAGTAAATCAGGGGTTTGAGGCAGTGTACCAACTAACCAGAATGTGCACAATCAGAATGAGCTTCGTCAAGGGCTGGGGAGCAGAGTACAGGTTTGTTACTCTCTGTAAACACATGGCTCTCTTGTTCTGCTATCCAAAACAATTAGGCTTTTAGGGTCCCTGTCAGATCAGAGTGTTGCACAGTAAAGTTTACTGACAAAGGCTCACAGTACTCTGAAGTGAATATATATTTGCTGTTCCATCGGTTAGGTTTTCGTTTTATTATACTTCAAGWTATTGTTAAATGTTTTTTCATTCATGTGCTTATGGGAAATACTAAAGCTATAAAATATACATTTAAATCTTTACCCTGCTTCTCTTTTTTGGTACAGAAAGGGAGCTTTTAAAGTCAACTTTTCATGCTATGTCGAAAGAAAATAGTTGCGCAGGGAAGTGGGAGATAGTGTATAAAAATAATTAGGGGTGCACCAATTGCAGCTTTCTGACCGATTATTAAAGTCTGACCTGCCGATTACGATTTTGGCAGATACTGATATCTTTTTTATTATTTCTTTTTTTAATAACTGACACTGTCAGATGTTATAAGGTCACAATACAACGTTCCAATGTTATTTTACTGAAATACTTTGAACAATACCCTTTTAACAAACTTGTATTAACTGGACATTAGGTAGTGCTCACAGCAGAGCAAAAAGGGACAGTTGCTGATTTTTCAGACCTTTTGTGGAGGTAAAAAAGCCGATCTTTTCCACCGATCTTATCTAAGGATCGGCCGATCTCAGGTCTCTCAAAATTAAGGAAATCGGCACCGATAAAATAAGAGTTGAATTTTTTTTTATCCATGTCGTCTTTGTACATTCCTAATTTAAAGCGGACATTGGATGAAAATGTTGAGAGAGATTGCTGGAGAAGAGGGAAGCACACTAATGAGTACTGAACACTTAAATTTTTACTTAATGTCTTTTTTTTCATGAAACAAAAAAACAGATGTGTTCATTCCACTACATACATGTGCGTTTCATCAGCCAAAAATTATAAAATAGATTAAATTTCCCTTGATTTTGCAAGACGTACATCAGAAAGTGTATGAAACTTAATGTGTTTTTTTCTTTAACTGTTATCCCTTTTATTCAAAGACATTTTATAATATAAAACAATTACTAATCTGCTTTTGTAGCTTATGTATGATCAGATCTACACTCTATAGTCTGGTTATTTTCCGTGCATGTCTTTGATCATCCAACAAACATCTGTTTTTCTAGTTTTGTGTTGTTCTTTGCCAACCCATTAACCAAACTGTTTGTGAGATTTGACTTGTCCTCAAAGGTCAGAGTCACGATGCTGCAGTAAGACTGTTTAGTTTGTACTCATTTTCTCTGAAGCCAAGGCCAGACCACTGAGCCTTTCAGTGTATTTGATCATCTGGTCAGACCTTGAGTTTGTGAATTTCCATTCTCTTCTGAAAGAACACTGGTTTGCCACATATTTAACTAAACATACCATATTTTTCTTTGGTTAGTTTCTATTAAAACAAGTATCGGCTGAAATAACTCATGCCAGTTTTTAGAAATTCTTCTGAATCTGACATTTGTTTRATAAAGTCACATGTTCTGCGTATTTATGCTACAACAGAGCCGAGATTTATTTTCCCCTCATGTTTTTGTTGTCTTTAATTCTTCCAGACGTCAGACGGTCACCAGCACTCCCTGTTGGATTGAGTTGCATCTCAACGGCCCCCTCCAGTGGTTGGATAAAGTGCTGACCCAAATGGGTTCCCCCTCGGTGCGCTGCTCTAGCATGTCCTAAACAGTTTTCATGCAAAGTCAAGGCTGACATTTCACAACAGTTTGTCCTGAAGGAGACCACCATTCAGTCTTAAATAATGTACTAACAACTTTAAAAAGAAGAAGCAAAGAACAAAAAAAAATTATACAAATGGACCTAGAAGGAAACAGAATGGCATCTCAGACAACGGTGGAATGTCAAAGATGTCATCAGTGGTTCGGTTTGGTCAATATCTGGTTGAGGTTCTAAAGCTCCTCAACATAATAACTGAAGTGTACCTGCAATATTAATAACAGAAGTGAAGGGGAGTGATGTCATAACAAACCAGTCAACATCTGGGCTCCAATCAAGAAGCCTGAAGCAGGACGGAGCCTTCCTGTCCTCAGGGTCACCGTCATAGTTTTGGGGATCAAGCATTAGACCTAGAAATTGTATTACCAGTCTGCCCAACCACTAGTTCAGCTTGACTTGTCACTGTTTTTACTGCGGCACAGCTTCGATTTGGTGTGAATGTTTGTTTTTACACGAGGATGACCAACTACTGCCACTCCAGCTTTATGTTGAACCAAAGTCAACTTCACACCTGGGCATGACTTTTTATTTTTTTAGCTTCTGGCTTTGGAGACCTTCTTCTCTTTTCTGTTTTATCCCATCCCATGACGTGTTGATGTGATGGTTTGCCCTAGAATGCATTTTTTAGATTTTATTGGGGGRAAAAAAACAAAACTGTAATAGCCCTTGTTGCCATTATCTCATGTACTCACAAACTTATTGTTTAGATATAAAAGAACATGTCCTCTCCATAAGTTGGAGTACATAATGGCTAAAATAAACTATATTTTGTACTCATCTGCAATTTCATTTTTTTTCTGGCATAGACAACTAACAGATGAGACAAAAAATAGTGTGCATATTACACATCAATTGCTTTTTTTTAACATTAGGGAGCAAGCCAAAGTTGTGTCCCTCTTACACTCCTCTTTAGAACAGGAGCCTTGTGTAGAACCTGGAAGTGAAGCGAATTAGAGCAACACTCAAAGCTTCAGCTTCACCTCCTTCTGTCTGACAGACGGTAGGAACAACTTCTCGCAGAGATTCCACATTTGTTTAAAATGCACAAATCTCTTGGAACTGATGCAGTTTTCCAGATATAGACATTTTTATCAAGATGAAAAGTCCTACATTGTTGGACTTTAATTATAAAATAGCTTCTATACTAGACTTGCACTGCCCCAATTTATGCACCCTTAAGAAAGTTGCCTTCGATGTCAAGTACAATATGCTCAGAATTGTGCAGACAGGATCGTGGAAAAGCCCATTTGAAGTAAACAATTTTCTCCTTTCCATTTTAAGATTAGCATCCTAATCTGTTTTATTAAAGTGTCTGCGTTTATTTGATTTTAATGAAATGTTTGATCTAAAAACTAGCTTTTATTTGGTATTTTAGAGTAAAGTATTCAAGCTTTAAGTGTTCCACAAGCTAGTTATGCTACTCATTTAGTATTTTCTTTACGAAAGGTTTTAGCTACTTTTTTTACCTGTATTTTTATATATAAATATATTTAAAATCTCAAAAAGCTTTCTTTTTTTCAAGTTATGTTTTTGTTTCTGTTGGAAATGCTTACAGCTTGATGATGACTTGTGGTTTGTATGTAGCATGGGATTTACCAATTCCTTAGAACTCACCACTGAGAACATGTATAACTGCACTATGGCTGGGTTGCTTTCCTCATTTTCATCTTCAGAGTTTCAGAACCCAATTTGGCTAGCTAAATTTTAGAACATGCAAGGCAATTTTGAATTATACCAAGTAATTATATTTAAAAAAAAGAAAAGAAAATTGTTTTGACCAATTTTTCCAAATGTGAGGGTTTGACCAAAGAGTGAATGAATGCATGCTTGTGATTTTATTAGCTCAAGCTTTCATTTTAAATGTTGGGTGTATACTTTCAAGATTGAGGAACAACGGTATTAATTACCAGTAACATATCCCAAAAGACTGGAGGTATTGTTTTTTTTTGGTTTTGATAAAAGAATACGATCTAGCAGCTGCAATACAGAGCTGATTTTTTTTTTTTTTTTTTTTTTTGTATCTCGGCAGTTAGTAATTCAGAAAGCTTTGACACTGGAGAGTCCGTTGGAATTCTGTTTTACTTTAATACATCATTACTTTTTCCAGTAAAAAAAAAAAAAATCACCAATTCCAGCATTGCAGCTGTTTTGTAAATCATTGTGCACTGTAAATTTATCGTGAGTTGTTGGTATTACGCTCACATCCCRTTTGAGCCTCTCACACCGAAGTATTTTATTTTTGCTCAACGTTAATACACAGACAGAATATTCAGAGGAAGATAAATCACTTTACACTATTCATATTCTTGCCACAGTCGTTTTGGCTCATACTATCACATTCCAGATGTCCTGTTTTGCTTTTTTAAAACTTTTTTTTTTAGTGTGCATGTAAACCCTTCACTTTTTTAAAACTTTATTTTTTTTTCTTGCAAAAAAATGTACATTAAATATTCGACCAGCAACAAAATGATGTTTCAATGAAGGTTTAGTTCAGCATCCTGCAGAAAATAGAATTTACCTGAAAGTACACACCTGACCGATGACATCATCTTCTATGAAGTGAGATGCAAAGAAAGATTTGCACGAATAAAAACTCAGAACAGTTGTTTAAGTATGGCCTGTCTGTTGGTGTTGATCACGTTTTAATGCATCAAGATCAATCCAAATTGTTCATCTTCATAAAAAAAACTGGATACTGGTTACTCATTTTATATCTATATGATGGTTTCTGTTTTTCTATGTTTGTGTTTTTGTTGGTCTAGCCTTTGCGTTACAAGCTGAAATTAAAATGTATTTTTTTAAGGTTGTCATTGATGACCATACTTGTTCTATGCATTGAAATACAATTGTTTGGACTTTATACTCGAAAACGATTATCAAAAAATGTGCTTTGTTTTTCTGATTGAAAGACATTTTTCCCCTCTTTTTGTATATTACCAGGACCCAGCAAACACCTGAGCGCATATATATATATATATATATATATATATATATAGTTTTTCTTTGAGAGCTACTTTGACTGGACCATTCAGAGGGACGCTGGAACCAAATGAGGTTTTGTGAAGGACGCTTTAACACATTCTGAGGTCCGCATTCCTACATACAGATCATGTTGTATTTCTTATTGTGATGACAATTGTGTATTCCAGAATAAGCCTCTTTCTGGTGCATTTCTGTGAAACTGGCTTCTAGTTTCTGGAGAACGTGGAGTTCCTACATGTCACTTGTGATGTATTATAGCTGTACTTTTTAATACGTTTTCCATACATGCTGTTCCCTCTGCTTGCTATAAACAGCAGATTCACTCAAACTCAGCCTTGTTAGAATTTATGTATTCTTCAAACACTGATCTTCATCAGCTTTCCAACCTATCCTACATTTACAACTTCTTACAGTGTACACTAATAAAGCTGTTTTGCTTCAATCGAAAATCGTCTTTTTTTGTGTTGATGTTGGTGATTGTCATTTTTACTTACTGCAGTTTACCACTGCACTCGGAAAGGACAGTGTTATGTCCTCGTGGTTTAACAAATTCAGCTGTACACTATTGAGTTAGACACAAATCGTATCAAGTCGGGTTAGCACTTTGTATTACAACTCTAATATGGTTATGGGGGTTAATAAACAAAATGACATATTGTAATTACCAAAGTTTAAAATGTTATATCAATGTAATATACATTTTTAAGAACTGAAAGTGGCATTTACCTAATGTCAATATTGGAAAGTATTAATACGTGTTACTGTCCTATGGTAAAAAATAAAATAAAATGATAGTTAAAAAAGTGTCCTTTCTAAACATTGTTTTGTTTGAAGGTAATACTGTGGAAGTTTCCTGATGCATCTCAGTAATCCAGGTAAAAAATCAAAGAAAAAAAAATGTATAGGTCTTCTGGACGGGTTCTTCTCTAATGAAACGTTTCGTCTCTTCTCCAAGAGACTTCTTCAGTCAGAGTTTCAGACAAAATTCAAGCTTTTAAGCACTGCCTCCATGTGACATACATCACATGGCTATCGTTCACACTTAATTAACACCTGTTGTTAACAGGGGGTGGAGTGATACTGGCAATAGCAGCGCTGTAGGAGGGGGACAACTGAAAACGGAGGCCTCCACCTCTGTTTAATGATGGACGGTCTTTCTTCACAAAAATGGCTTCTTTTACTCCTCTCTCCAGAAGCCATTTTTGTGAAGAAAGACCGTCCATCATTAAACAGAGGTGGAGGCCTCCGTTTTCAGTTGTCCCCCTCCTACAGCGCGGCTATTGCCAGTATCACTCCACCCCCTGTTAACAATAGGTGTTAATTAGGTGTCAACGATAGCCATGTGATGTGAGTATCAGTCACATGGAGGMAGRGCTTAAARGCCTGAATTTTGCCTGAAACTCTCAGACTGAAGAAGTCTCTTGGAGGAGAGACGAAACGTTTCATTAGAGAAGAACCCGTCCAGAAGACCTATACAATTTTTTTTCTTTTTGACTGTGGAAGTTGGACAAATTGATTGTATATAATCAATCAATATATGTATATATAAATTATATTATCTATATTGTTTTATACAGTATGTAGTCTGCTTTATTTGCCTTTTGAAGAGGCATAAAKGCAGCCTTTGTTTATGGTAATTCAGCGAGAGGCTACAAAGTGGTCCAGAACCTCAAGGTGCTTTAATTAGTTCTAACAAGGAACAGGTGTGCTAGGCAGAAAGCTACAGTTGGTGTTTAGAATTCAACTGAAATAAAAAAAAAAAATGAGTATTGTTCCTGAATTTATTTATTTATTTTTCTTTTAGTCAGCTTTTTAATTAGACAGTAGCCTATTTGGGTCCCATGTTGCTGGCTACAGAACAAAAGGTAAGCTGTGGGTTAGCATACATCTTTGATTTTGACAGGTTTAGTGTAGCTCTGCTGATTTACATTCTCTCGCCTAAATAAGTTTTTAGCTCAGCCTAGCACTGCATTTTGTTTTTCCAAAACAAGACCTGAGGTATTTTTGCTAATTTAAACAAGCTAGTACACGGCAAAACAATTTGCATACATAAATTATATAGATGTAAAACAATCAAAAAACATTTTAACACTTTCACTTTTAAATCAAAAATGATTTATTGTAATGTAGACAGAACAGACACTGAGATTACTGTTTTCAGCCGCTAGAGGGCACTAAAAGCAAACAAATGGAAGATCTGTGTTTTACTGGTTTGGCASTGAGATATTTTGAAGTCTGACTGAATTTATCCATGCTTGTATTAATTTAGAAACCTCTATGTGGAGCTGATTGTTACACTTACATTGTGTGTTCCTGAAATTTAAAATAAAACAAAAAAAGGGATTGGTTTTGTTCAAATATAGAGTTGTTAAGTGTGATACATAGGATGTCTGTGCTTTTGATTTCATGTTTACATATTTGCTTTAGCTTTACATATTCACCTGATAGACTCACAAAGGTATACACTCAAAATGCTGAGATAATAAAGAACCCCCCCACCCCACCCCCCCAAAAAAAATAACTTTATTTATCCTTTTTGTGTTTTGGGCTGTTATCACGTGGAGTCTTCAAGCTCAAGTTTTTTTTTTTTTTCCCTTTTTGTCTTTTTAATACGGAGCTCTCCTGAGATACAACGCCTTAGAGATTAAAATACAATATGAGCATTGTTTAAAGATTTTTAACTTTTGCTTTCTTCACTCCAACAAAACCAATGCATGTGCATGCAGCTGTGCACAGACTTTTAAAGTTTTTTTTTAATGTGCTGGAGTGAGTAGTCCTTTTACTCCAGCCGCTCCATTACCAGAGCATCATTAGGCATTTGTTGATGCTACCCRGCCTTCCTTAAGGTTTGGCCTTGGAGTTTATCCAGTCCCCTGAGTCCTATCACCATGCAGACCAGTATAACATTTCACAAACTAGTTAAAACCATATCTCGAATTTACCTAAACTTTCTGGAAGGGTGCTGGGAGTCATTTTGAATTTGTTGCAACAGATTGTTAAAACAACATGTAGACCAACTATGAGGTAGCAACAAAAGTGTTAACCTTAAAGCAGAAAAATAAACACAGCATTGATTCATATTGGTTTATGTCTACCTGTTTTATGTTTTTGACCACTGTTTATTTAATGAAGTGGTTATTTTTTTTATGAAAACAGTGAATTTCTCCCTGCCAGTGCACCATCTTTAAATGTGACAATGCAGGTCATGGCATACAACCTGTGTGCTGACCCCAGACTGTCATCTATCATTAATGKGACTTTTGTGTGCGCCATGTTTGTTTCTTTATTCTCTCTGACATTCCACAGYGAGGTTCATTAACCGATCTTCTAGTTTACCTGCCTGACCCTTTAGTTTTTAACCTTGGACGCTGTGCTTGAACTGTGTGCTCCACTCTCTGATGTTTCTGTCCAGAACAAGGGTCAGTAAGTTGTGTTTCGGAGATATGGGTGTGCATAAACCTTCTTTATGCCTTGCATTGTGTGTGTGTGTGCACGTGTGTTTTCAAGCCACAAGAACTGAAGGAGGGTATAAGTTAAGTCAACTAATTAAGACTGGCTCCTGACTTATTGCTGACCCCGGGGACATAACAATGCACCATCTAAAAGCCTTTGTACCAGAGGCCTCTTGGCCACACTCGAGTGTTGGATATCCTGTGTGTGGGTTTTGGCTGACTGGTAGTGCGGGGCTGCCTTGATCCAGTAACTGGAGCGCAGGGAGAAAAGAAACAAGAGAGCAAAGAGAAAAGGACGGCAAGAGAGCAAAGGAGAATAGAGACGGGGTGTAAGGAAGAAAGTGGCTCTTCACTGAAAGAAAGTAAGAGAGAAGTAGAAGCCTGGCCCATGTAATTAGGTTTAAATGAGTTTTCCACTGACTCGGTGGATCGTGGCAGCACCGGGACAAAGATAGACTGAAGGTTAGGCAGTCATCGAGTCGGATCGGGCATGACATGGTCATAAGACGACAAGGGTACAACCAGGCTGTCAGCCTTGTGTTGTTTTTCTTTAGTATAGACACTGAAAGCATAAATCTAAAACAATAAACTTCACCCTTATTTCTCTTAGAATAAAGACTTTTCCTATCTATAGTTTAAATAGAAGAGAAATATGCATTGAAAGTAAAATAGACTCAGGAAATCTTATAGATTATATCTCTTTTAAAGCTTGTTTACTCTTCTTTAGAAACTTAATTTGTTTCTAGTTCAACGGCCATAGAAGATGGAGCGCACTTGATTTTGCTGGTGAAAATGTGTGTGTGGAGAATCTTTTTTTTTTTTTTTCGTACAGACCAGATTGAAATTTTAGCAAGTTTTAACTGAGTGAAGTTTTCATTTTAATATCATAATCCTTAAATTCTACAGCAGATCTGTAAACATTCATGGCATCAGACATCAAAACCTGTTTTGTTGTGTCGTTTGTTTCGGTGTTTTTGCAGAGTGGGTCATTATTATCTCTTAGAAAATGATCTTCAGTTATTATCAGACTTTTGTAAATTTGTGTTGTTCTTCCACTGTTCATAAATAAGCAGCAGCACATCAGCTCACAGCACTGATGGGTCACAGCAAGAAGGTTCTGGGTTCAATTCCCAGTTTGGGGTCTTTTTATGTGGAGTTTGTATGTTCTACTTGTGTTTGCATGGGTTTCCTCTCACAGACCAAAAACATGCACATTCGGTTGTCTTCAGACCCAGGCCCGGGGCCCCCTTGCAAAATGGATTTGTCTGGTTAAATAAAAGTAATAAAATCATATGTTTGTTCTTAGCTTTGAATAAATCAATTTAAAATNTTGAATAAATCTATTTAAAATATAGCATTCATTTTATTTATTTATTTTATTTTCCAATTAGCTCAAATAATTCAACCAACAATTTTCCATTAGGCTAAAACGTCAAAAAAAATGTTGAGTTCAAAAGGTCACAAAAYAACCACAATGATCATCTGATTGATTTTATTATAGTTCTTTTCTCTTTGTCATTTACTTTTTCAGTTCACTATAGGTAATAAATATGCACCAAACAACCTTTTAAAACTTTACGTTTGTAATTTTTACATCACAGTTCTTTCATTCGTCAGAAAGACTTGTACAGAGCAGGAAAATAATCGACTAATAGCAAAACTGGCATTTCTTCAATGTCATCAAGTCAAACCCAAACCTAAGGAAGTGAAAACAGAACCAGGCAAATGTGTTTTAATTATACCTGAACAACAAAATGTCAAAATCTCCACTGTGAAAAAGKTCTGAGAATATTGAACAGGTTTGTGAAACTCAGCTACCTGTAAACATGGGTTTTATGTTAAAGCTAAAATCTATAACTGATTCCACTTTGCATCAAAATGTAGCATTTTAAATCTGATTACCTTTTACATTAGTAAACACTTTAAATTCTAGTCTCGTGAAACATAAACTTAGAAAACTTTATTAAAGCTTGAGCGACAACATTTATGACCACCTATGTGTTTATGATAAAGTTATTCAGAGTCCAAACTGTGGATTAAAAAAAATATAGTTGGATKAAAGAATTAATTTGTCTTTTTTAGTTTGTCGTTTGYTTTACAATCATCTGACTAACTTCASTGTGCTCTTTTTCTCTTTCAGATTAACATTTCTTTCATCTGTCCTCCTCAGTCTTTTTATTGTTCTTGATTAAGTGAGCACTAATACACTCTGTCTTCATGTTGTCACATTACTTCATGGCCATGACATATGAAAGCCCACCCATAAACAAATAAAACTCCAACCATTCTTTTCTTATCATCACACACACACACCTCTGCCCCTCTAATATCCCTCTCCTCCCTCCTCCTCCATGTGCTACATGCTCGGGTGTGTGTGGGGTTATGAAAACAGTTAGGCTTAATAATTGATGTTCTGCATTTCAATCAATTTCAACACAGTGTTAGGCTAATTAAGGTTAGCGCCATCCTCCCAGGGGCTGTGCGCGTGTGAGAGTGTGAGTGAATGAAAAGTGTGTGTGAGGAAGCCTATGTGTGTGTGTGTGTGTGTGTGTTTTCTCTGCTCCTGGGGCTCCATGCTCCATTTTATATCAAAATACATGGGAATTCTCTATTTCAGGAACAAGAGATGAGAGATAGTTGCTCAGTCGTTTCTCTCTCTCTCGATCTCTTGCTTCTTTTCCTTCTGTCTCTCCTGCTCTCTTCTTCCCCTTTTTCTCCCCAGGCAGGGAACTAAATGCAATTAACACAGCTGCTTTACTGCCTGCTAATTATTAACACACACATGAACACTCCCCCGCTCCCCCTCGCTCTCTCTCTCACACACACACACACTTAAAAAAAAAGATTATTTTACGCTGGACTAATTTAAAGTTCATTGACAGATATTCTATTTAATTAAATACAAAAAAAGTACACACTTTAAGAAATGCCAGGTAGACCCGACAAGCTTTTACATTTGGAGGCAATAATTAACCTGTGTTTTTGTGATGGCTCACCAACCTCGTTTTTGTGCATTTATAGTGTGTGTAGTTCCCCCAGACACCTCAAGGTGTGTGTGAGTGTGAAAGTCTGCCTCTTAATGAGTCTTTAAACCCTCAGTGGCAGTATTTAACGTTAACAGGAATAACTAAAAAGTCCAATTAAGAAGCAAAGATAACTTCATGCACAKCAAAATACTCCTCCTATAAGAAAGCATGAGTCCTATTTTCAAAGGCAGCTGAAACTACTTGTAATACTTGAAGGAAAGCCAAGCAAGCACAGGGAGAACATGCAAAAAATCAGTAAAACTGGAAGCAATCATCTCATGGAGAGAAATTCACTCTAAGTTGGTGCTTTTTTAACCAACACTGTCTGTTTACAAAGCATAAGTTCAAAGCTTTTGCTTCAAATGCATTTCCTATTCAAGACCAGTT